GCTGCTGGTGGAGGTGCAAATGCTGCTGCTGGTGGTGGAGGTCTAAACGCTGCTGCTGCTGCTGGTGGTGGAGGTGTAAACGTTGCTGCTGCTGGTGGAGGTCTAGACACTGCTGCTGCTGCTGCTGTTGGAGGTCTAGATGCTGCTGCTGCTGCTGCTGCTGGAGGTCTAGATGCTGCTGCTGCTGCTGTTGGAGGTCTAGATGCTGCTGCTGCTGCTGCTGGAGGTCTAGATGCTGCTGCTGCTGGAGGTCTAGATGCTGCTGCTGCTGTTGGAGGTCTAGATGCTGCTGCTGCTGCTGCTGCTGGAGGTCTAGATGCTGCTGCTGCTGCTGCTGGAGGTCTAGATGCTGCTGCTGCTGGTGGTGGAGGTCCAAACGCTGCTGCTGCTGGTGGTGGAGGTGTAAACGTTGCTGCTGCTGGTGGAGGTCTAGACACTGCTGCTGCTGCTGCTGTTGGAGGTCTAGATGCTGCTGCTGCTGCTGCTGTTGGAGGTCTAGATGCTGCTGCTGCTGGTGGTGGAGGTGTAAACGTTGCTGCTGCTGGTGGAGGTCTAGACACTGCTGCTGCTGCTGCTGTTGGAGGTCTAGATGCTGCTGCTGCTGCTGCTGCTGCTGCTGCTGGAGGTCTAGATGCTGCTGCTGCTGCTGCTGCTGGAGGTCTAGATGCTGCTGCTGCTGCTGTTGGAGGTCTAGATGCTGCTGCTGCTGCTGCTGCTGGAGGTCTAGATGCTGCTGCTGCTGAAGATGTTCATGGGACAGATGACTTGGCATTGCTTGTTGACTGGCCAGAGAATTACTGTGCCAAACATTGAATATACTGTGGAGGATGATGTCATGGAGCAAGTTGTAGCACAGTTTAATCCACTAAGTGGCCCCAGAAGGAATCATGGTATGGAACTAATCACTGGCCTAATATCATTTCTGGAGTCCTCATATGAGTGAAACAACTACAACAGTGACTGGGATACAATAAGAGGAGACGGTCTGTCTGTGTGCCCAAGAGCAGCTGTGGCTACACTGTGCAGCCCTACACTTTATAATTTGACCTATTTCTATATTTGTTTTACATTATATATTATATACCTTTACCATTTTATATGTAACATGTTTTGAAGAAGAAAGTGCCTCCTGCTGAAGAAAAGGTTTTTTTGTTAGGTGCTAGTTAAGCAGATGGAAGACGCCTTGCAGCTGGTTCAGTTTTATAGTTTTTTACTGTTAATCAGGAGTTTAACTAAAAGGATTGTTCACAAGGCGATTCTACAGACTCGTGGATTTGTAAGTAGCATTAATGAAGGACACAGGATCATAAAGAACAGAAATATGCAGATTTACAAGCAAACTACCTGTGTACAGGCACTGACTCTGTATGACTTAGTAAACAGCCATTTACAGTATCGATGCATAAAATGTACAAAGTAGGAACTTGAAGTAATCAAATGTAAATAACTTTTCACTTTATTTTATTATTATAGTTTGAAGAATGCCGTAACTGTCAAAACCAGTGCAGATTATTATACATGTGTAACACTGTTAAACCATTTTTTCAGTGAGATAATTGTAATTTTTCCATGTGTTTATTGAAAAGAAAAAAGCTGACTAATCACAGAAATAATGATTAGTTGATTAGAAACAAGTGCTCATCTAGAACATTTGAAATTTGTGTTACAGCAGTTCATGTTTTCAACTTGAATATCAAATATTACAGAAAGTTAGCTAATCGTTAGCAGGTATGCAGATGCGTGCTTCAGTATTGTAGTGGGCATAATCACCAACAGACATGTTTGTTTTATAAGAGGTTGAAAGTAATTTGTTTTAACCAGCGTTTCAGGATCATGAGGACATTTTCAGAGTCATGTCTTGGTGAAGCAGCAATGAAAAACGTTTTTCTTGAAACATTTATGTAAATAAAAACATTCAAGAGCATATTTTAGCCAAGAAAGCTCATTAGCAAAGTCTAGTTTAAGGCTTCTATAGGAGAACAACAAGCAGACATGTTTCAAACTTTTATTAAAGTGCTCTGATCCTGGATCTGGGAAGGTTCTGGAGTGGCTGGTCTGAGGATCTGGAGAGTGATGATGGAGAAGCAAGACAGAACATCTTCAGGAGCTCCTGTCAGACAAGTATAACAGTAGTAAAATAAACAACAACAACAACAACAACAACAAAACAGTAAATACTGAAAGTGGATGAGCTTAAGAAGAAGGGAGTTTTGGACAGACAGAACACTGATGTTCCAGCTGGACTCACGAGCCACGAAACGAGGACAGGCTGATACGGGGCGCCATCTAGTGGCCAAACTTTTAAGTAATCATCAGGTCTGACTGAAACTGCGTTTCTGCCTTTTACAGGTGGACAGAAAAAATAATAATGTTGACACATTGTTGATAATATTACTACATTTCAAGGCTTTATCTATACAGTGAAATTAGTTGAAACAGAGCAGAGTTGTATTAGAAAACAGTAGTCAGCCCGACAGCCCGGCGAATCTGGGATGAATTAGTGCTGCCTCAACCTCCTCTTCTTTCATTGGGTCACTGGAGTTTAAATTAAGTGGATGAGAACATGGGGAGGGCTCTGCATAAATGAGAGTAAAGTTGAATTTTAAACTCGTGAAAACTGTCACAAAGTGGCGTTAAAAGCAGCGTTCAAGGTCTGTAAAAAACGCAGTTTTTTTACGCCACTCACACAGGGAACGCGTCTGGGATGAGGGTGACGTAAAAAACGGTGTTCAATGTCTGGGAAAAAAAACATCGTTTTTTCCGGCGTTCTACAGGAACGTTAAGAACTGCTCTGGCTGGCATCAAATATGGCATTCTGGGAGAATTTTTGCCATATTTTAGGACGTCTTGACACATCAAACGGCGTTTTATTCGCCATCTCTTAACTAGACGGTTTGAGAAAGTGGCGTATTGTGGCGTTTTTGGCTTGCCATACCTGGCTGCAGATTCACGCCTGCAGCCGTAGACTATTCATTATTCATCACGTCTTCCTCGTTCTTCACGGCCGTGATGCGGAAAACATCTGGCTCATTAGCTCCTGATCAGCTGACGACAGCTTCAACACACCGCGCTGCTTAACGCACGCATTTCCTTATCAGTAACAGAAACGATGTTTTGATAAAAGAAGACGTAATTAATTAGTTTGTTCGTTACTGAAAGAAATTTTTTTTTTATTAACGTGGTTATTTTAAACGGCGTTATGCCCATCACTGCTCTGTTGTGTCTACAGCAGGCAGCGACTGAGACGGTGAGGGTCTCCGCCCACCCGGCCAATCATCATCGTGTTTGTAAGTGCGTTACCGACACCTCTCTCTCCCTGGCTGCAGCTGAAGTGTGGCGGTCAGAAAGCCTCACGCTGTTGCTCAACGTTCGACAAGCACATAGTAACGCACAACCTTCCATCCCCAGTAACGGTAATGGCGTTGCAACAGTGGGAAAAGTAGTTAATTAGATTATTCCGTTACCCAAAAAAAGAACGCCGTTCGTAACGCCGTTATACTTAAACGTCGTTACTCCCAACACTGCTAATAACGATTTTTGGAGTAACACGAATTTCATCATGTTGTCGAAAAGCTCGTTTTATGTACTTTTAGAAACCGTTTGAATTGGTTTAATTTGATTACTAATTCAGAAGTTATGACCCGGAGAATCTAGAGTGAGAAATATTAACATCTGTGATTCTTTTTTGGGTGTTTCTTCAACACTTTCTGAGAAGTCTCTCTCTGTCCCATTTTCTGACTCAGACATGCAGCTACCTCGCTGCTCGACACACACTAGCCACAAACGCAAATGCATGTAAACACGGTATTAAAATCCATCCAGCTGACGTGAAGCAGGCAGAAAAAAACATACAGGTAGATGAACGCAGACTCCTGCCCGCAGGCAAAACACCAGCCTGTCGTTTCCATGGCTACAAGGTAGAGCGACAGCAGGGACAACCAATCACATGTTAGCATGATGCGGCAGAGCCAATCAGTGAGCTTGTGGGCGGGTCTAAGGGAAAAAAGGCTTCAACTTGAGGCGGCTGCCTCCGCATGGTCCTAGCGCCTGATATGTATCACAGTTTTGAACTGTAAAATCTGATGAAAGATCGGAAAAAGGGCACTTCGGACAGAAGGGGCAGGTCTCAAGCCCCCCCCCCCCCCCCCCCCCCCCCCCCCCCCCCCCCCCCCGCGTGCCTGCTGCTCAGGAAATGCATAAATTGAAAAGGAAGTTTGTCTCGTTAAACAGAGCCTGATTTCATTAAGTTAAATTCACTTACTTAAAATTAAGGTGAATAACATAAATAAGTCTTATATAACTAAAATAAGTAGATTTTTACTATGAATTTTGTTTAATATGTATTTAAATATTTGTCACAAAATTACAAAGTTTACCAAATTACAAAGATTATTTAACATCCTCTACTGAAAATAATTAATTAAAAGCTTCTAGGCCATATAAATCTTTTTACAGTGTACCTCAGGATGTCATTTTTTTCCTATTTCTACATAATGCACCTTTAATGAAATGATTTTCATTTATTAATCAGTTGTATGTTCTCGTTTTAGGAATTACCAACGTGACTGGCTCAGGGGGTACTCCTGGTAAATGGCTCAGGGGGTCCACATGTCAAAAAAGGTTGCGAACCACTGCTGTAGCACACCCGAGTTTAAAGTCAGACCATGGTCGCACAGTAATGACACCAAGTAGGTATCTGAGAAGTATCCACTGTCTGATACAGGAGGATTTTCTTCTTCACCTCATGACTAGTGGCAGGATCTCACAGGTCCTGCCTGGATGCAGGTCCAGTCTGAGTCCAGGTCCAGATCGGACCAAGGACATTTAAAAAAAGGTTGGACAGAAAGAATCCCCATCTCTGCTGCTCCTGCAGTTCTGATCTATAAACCCACCCTGGTGTTTGTTTCAGTCAACAAACAAACAAATAAATAAATAAATAAATAAATAAATAAATAAATACATAAATAAATAAATAAATAAATAAATAAATAAATAAATCCAGCCGTGCACCCGGCCCGCGCGCACACGTGCACGCCAGGCTGGTGCTGGCCATCTCCACCTGTTCACACCTCTGCTGTCAGACTGCAGCTGGCGGAGCGGCTCGGTGTCGGTTGGGCTCCTCAGACGCCGCTGAATGGATCACCTCCAGCAAACGGCTTCAGCGCAGAACCTCCTCCGAACCCCGCTCCGTGCTTCTCCCGGTACAGCGCAGTCTGACGACCCAGTCTGCGGACGCGGATTGCCGGTTCGGTCTCGTGCTCGGCCGTGAGGACGGCGGATCAATCGGTCTCCGTCCGCGAGCAGCGAGTCGTCTGCACGGCTTTATTCTTCAGTACCAGATTGGATCAAACGCTGTGGGGTCGGACTATGGTGCCGGTACCGCTTCGACCCACGGCGCCGTGAGAACCCCATCCCGTTTTCTGCTGTTTTCGTTGGTCAGCGGGATCGTGCTTCTGGGCAGGTCCGCCGCTCCCCGCTCCATGATGTTCACCTTCGCTGCCTTCTGCTACATGCTGTCTCTGGTCCTCTGCGTCTCCCTCATCTTCTTCGCCATCTGGCACGTGAGTACCCGGCAGCCATGGCTTACTGTCCCTGCAGAACCTCTGTGTTTGCGGCCTTTATTGTGTGTGTGTGTGTGTGTGTGTGTGTGTGTGTGTGTGTGTGTGTGTGTGTGTGTGTGTGTGTGTGTGTGTGTAGGGGGGGCAGAACCAGAACCCAGAAACTGGACCTGGTGGGTGGGTCCAGTTTCCAGTGAGTCCATTGAGTCATAACTGTCTTCACATCTGGACCCATCACACCGGATCAGGTCCAGACCTACACAGTGCTTCATCTCCCCTCCTCATCCTCCCTCACCTAGCCTTTAACTGAGACTGGGCTCAGCTCCACAGACACCAGAACCAGCAGTGCTGACTGCTGACTGAATAATCTTTGCTCACTGAGCCGCATCCCCATCATGCAGGAACTTGCATAAGGCAGATTTGGGTCAGGTCTTCTAGACTTTGTGTTCTGTTAGGGGACATCAGTCCTGGTGGACTCCAGTGACTGGTCCTGGATCAGAACCAGCTGTACATGTCTGCTTATAGAACCAGGAGGAGAGGCTTGGAGCAGAACCTGCAGAACATATCAGATAAAAGGAGACTGAATCCTGGACCTGGACCTCTGCAGCTTCAGGATGAATCTCCACCCTTCTGCTTCTGTCTGCTGAAGCTGGAGAGATCATCTTCTACTCTGGATAAGCAGCTCAATTAGCAGGTGTGGGCAACTATGAGACCCGGACTCAAGTCCATGTGTACCTCGATCAGTCCCTCATCTTCCTCCCCTAAATAGTTTGTTGGGTTTACAGGCAGGGGCATAGCAGCAAATTCTGGGCCCTGGGTACAAGCCATCTAGTTGGGCCCCCATGCTCAACTGTTTAATATCTTTCATGCACATTTTTTGTCATGCTATAAGGCAAGATAATACATTTGATCTTAGTATAACCTATTTATTGAGCAAATACAATCACCGTGCTACCTACAGTATCTGGAGAGAATGAGGACCCTGGTGCTGCTGCTACTGCATCTAAAGGGCCATGTGGTTCATGATGCGAATACTGATATTTATTGTTACAATAATGAAATTTAATAAACCAGCTTCTGTCTGTGAATGTCACGTACTCTAAATTTAAAAATCCCTGCATTATCCACATAATTTCTTGCAGAAATGCTGTTTGAATGCTGGATAGCGGAAACTGATAGCTGAAGCTGCTGGATAGCTAAAGTGAAGCGGAAACTTTGCTAAACTGTCAAGCAGAAAACTGAAATCTCTGATATTAGTTTATAGGGTTGGACCACAGACATGTTTTAGCAACTGGTATTTGAGTAGGAATAGTTAATTAGTTAAATATTCACTATTAGCTGAACTCTGAATTTCGCAGCATATGCTGAATTCTGAAACGGATGGCTGAAGCTGCTGATTGGCTGAACTGAAGCGTATGTCACACACAATGGCGAGTTTGTCATAAACATGGCGACTGAAACACAGTTTGCTGCGGCTCTTTCCTCTGTTCTAAATGACTCGGACGTGTCTTTAAAACCACAACTAGTACAAGTACGAAAAGCCTTTCTTCTAAAGAAAGATGTTTGCACTGTCGCCAGACACCAGGGATTCCCCTAGGAAATTTTCCAGCTATGGTGGTGGTGGTGGTGGTGGTGGTGGGGGGGGGGGGGGGGGGGGGGTTATGACCGTCTCACCTTTATGTTAATATTGTTTTATTAGACGCACTCCACTTTGAACTGCACCAATCCAGCAACTGCTGCATTTTAATAACTAGTATTAAAGGTGAATACACCAATATTTGCACAAGAATATTTTTTGTTTTAAACTCTCAGTGACACACTTTGCGGGGGGTGGGGGTGGGCATTTAATTTTTCTTGGCATCTGGAAAAACATCTCCTTCTGCCCCCCTGTATTTGACTTTCTGCCCCTTTATTTCGGTCCAAGATCATTACTGGGCTGGCCCTATTAAACACCTTCTACACCCCTGCTTAGTAGACTTAATGAAGTATTTTTAAGCCAGTATAAAAATGACTGAAACACAAATTTACATATTTGGCATTATTGACCAATATCTTTGATTTAATTTATTTGTTAAGCACATCAAGATGCATTACAGTGAACATTATAATAAAGTACATGTTTCTAGTGCAGAGAGGAGACGACCCATAGAAGCACTGATTTGATCTCATTTCAGAGAAAAATAGAAGAGGTCAGATGCACCTAATAAATAAAATTACTAACATAAACCCAGGAATCTGTTTCTTTGCTTCATTGTTCTGGTGCTGAAAATATCACTAATGCAGATCAAAGGAGATACACAGATGAATGCACCTCTTATTTATTATTTGGAAATGAGTGGGTGTGGTTTACATCAATACATTATTTTAAATCTGAAATTTATCTGAAATGATCAGAAGTTGCTATGTGTATTGTTTATTTATAAACTATTTAGAGAGCAGCCTCAGAACTGAGATGAAATATTTTTGATCACAATAGTAAAGGAACTATTACAGAACACGTTTTTCAGTAAAATCAGAACATTAATCAGAATCAGAATCAGGTTTATTGCAATTGTCAGTGAACAAACAATTCACAAACTAGGAACTTGCTTCGGTACTAATGTGCTACATATAACATGAATAATAAGATTAAAAATAGAATAAAATATAATAAAAAAAAACTAGAATAAAACTTTCAGCAATAAAAAATGGCAGGTAATGGTAACATGGCCGATAACGTGACGTTGTGTCGAGTACAGAAGACGAGCATGGTTGTGTGTTTATAAGCTGTTCACAAGTCTAACGGCAGATGGAAAGAAGCTGTTCTTATGGCGGGAGGTTCTGGTCCAGATGGACCGTAACCTCCTGCCTGAGGGAAGCGGCTCAAAAAGTCTGTGACCCGGGTGCGAAGGGTCAGCTGCTATCCGACCTGCACGCCCCCGAGTTCTGGAGACGTACAGGTCCTGGAGAGATGGAAGGCTGCAGCCAATCACCTTCTCAGCAGAGCGCACAATGCACTGCAGTCTGTGTGTGTCCCTTACCGTGGCTCCAGCGTACCACACAGCGATGGAGGAGGTGAGGATGGACTCAATGATGGCCGTGTAAAACTGCACCATCATCTGGGCCGGCAGCTTGGCCTTTTTCAACTGCCGCAGAAAGAACATCCTCTGCTGGGCCTTTTGATCAGCGAGCTGATGGATGGCTCCCACCTAAGGTCATGTGTGATGGTGGTTCCGAGGAAGCGGAAGGAGTCCACAGTGGTAACGGGGGTGTAAGACAGGACGAGGGGGAGAGATGGGGCTGTGACTTTCCTGAAGTCCACAATCATCTCCACTGTCTTCTGAGCATTGAGCTCCAGGTTGTTGCTGCTGCACCAGTACGCCAGCCGTTCCACCTCCCTCCTGTAGGCGGACTCATCACCGTCAGAGGTGAGCCCGATGAGGGTGGTGTCGTCCGCAAACTTGATCAGTTTAACGGAGTCATGGCTCGAGGTGCAGCAGTTTGTTTACAGGGAGAAGAGCAGAGGAGAGAGTACACAGCCCTGTGGAGCTCCTGTGCTAATAGTCTTAGTGGTTTAAGTGCATGAATTAATACATCTGAACTCATGCAGTAGGAACTGGGAAATATGAAATACTAGAACCATTTTATTTTAATTTGATTAAACTGATTTTTTCCTAACATTGTTGGCATTTTTCCCACACACAGTTAAACAAAACTATGTTGATTAAGGTGTGTGTGTGTGTGTGTGTGCATGTGTGCAAAGGAGAGAGAGAGAGACAGAGAGAGAGAGAGAGAGAGAGAGAGAGAGAGAGAGAGAGAGAGAGAGAGAGAGAGAGAGGCAGTGACCGACGCATGCACGAGCCGTTTTCAGCTCTGTCTTGTCAAATGCACCACGTACGTTACGAAAAAAGTAAATTTAAATATTAAACCAAAAAAGAGGCTAGTTGAAGAAAACCTAGGGAGTACTGAAGAAACGTGAGCAACAGTGAAGCAAGCACAGAGAGATCCGTTACTGTCTATGTGTGTGTGCGTGTGTGCGTGGATGCGTGGGCCGGACTGAGCTCCCGGCTGCAGAGTTTTGTGTGAAGGGAGGGGCGGGCGCTCTATCTGACTGGCCAATCACAGAGCGTGAAGACAGTCAGTTACCCAATGAGGATTTTCCTTCAGCACGATTACAGATATTTACGAGTTTTATTTGTTTCATGCTCGTATTCGTCAAAAATGCTTTATCCGTACCGGATACTCGTCTGAAACGAGTATGCGGCTCATCCCTAGCTGTAACCACCCTGCCCTGCCTCCTCCTCCTTGCTGCCTGCCGGCTGTGAACGAGCAACAACAGAGTAGTTCCCGCTGCTTCTTTGGGAAACAGCGCAAAAAAATAAAATTCTAATTTGGGATCTTGTAGGCGTGGCGCTGGGATTTCAGCCATGGCGGGCCACCACGGCTACGCCTATGTAAGGGAAACACTGGACGCCATTTTTGACTACAGCTAAAAAACTACAGCATCGCAGACGTCACACACAGCGATGTTCAGATTCTCATAAACAATGAAGACAGCGGCGGAGTTGGCTGCAGCTCTTTCCTCTGTTCTAAATGACATGAATGTCTTTAAAACAAGTAGAAGCGCTAAAATCATTTCTTCTAAAGAAAGATGTTTGCGCCGTTGCCAGACGCCATTTTTGACTACAGCTAAAAAAAACTACAGCGTCGTGTGGTACAGTCAGCATTTCCGTAAATTTTCTGATTGGTTATTTTCGAGCTGGCTAGTCCCGCCCCTCATCTGCCTCCCTGCCTGTGAGTAACCAGACTCTTTCTCTGTGCAGAATTAAACAGAGGAAGAGTCTGGCATGCCAGGCTAGTATTTGTGTAGGGATTGTTTTATAATAAAATGTTCTCAATTTGCTGAACTGTGCAGCATATGCCGAATTCTGAAACTGAGCTGAACATGCCCAATCCAATTCAATTTTCAATTCAAGTTTATTTATAAAGCGCCAAATCACGACAAGAGTCGTCTCAAGGCACTT